GGGTGACATATGTACCCTGTAATGTTACCCCAGGCCCCCCCACTCCTCAGAGCAGAGGTTTTTCCAAGACTGGCTGTACGCTATTGGGTCCTTTCTCTTACATGTAAAAAGGGGAACACCACCAAGCAAGCCTTGGAAGGCAGACAGCTTGCTTCCAAGAAGTTTTCAAGCTTCACGTAAGCCCTGGTAGCATGGGAAATACGTTGCAAATGACAGGCAATGTTATTTTTAGTCAACAAAAGGAGTAGTTGCAAAACATGTGTTTTGTGGACTGCCAGCACTGTGAAAGTCACCTTTTTCCTGTCTTCATTGAAAGGGCACAAGATTTAAGCCATTAACATCCATCCCCTTCAACGTAAGATGTTAACAGATAAATCTCCAAACCCAAGAAGACACAAAACAGGCTGCTGGATACACTGTGGAAGGAGCTCATGAATTTCATCTTCAACATACCATGTGGTCTTAGTAGAGTCCTAAAAAGTCTGGGATTTCCAGGAAAACTGAGCAAGCAGTAAGAAAACTGAAACAATACACTGTCGAGCCAAGAGAGGATCTTGTGGTTAAATCAGTGCTTAAACCAAACAACCTACTAGTAAGGACCTTGCCTCAGCATTAGTTCCTGGCCATAGAAAATTAATTTAGCACAAAGATTTCAGAACTTTACCTAAGCGACAACAGAAAGAAACAATACTCCTGTTTAGCCTATTGAAAGTGTGCATGTAACTCATACCCCTCTGCACACAAGATGTGGATCCAAAGGCCTGTTGATAAGAAAACCACTGCCAGAGTTTGGCTACATAAACTCTCCTTGAAACTGAGTGTCTGTCCCATGGGATGCAGTCACTGCCAGGCAGTCTGAAAAACAGTATGGGACAGATAAACATAAATGGAAGAAGAACTGGGCAGCAAGTGGAAGTTTCTGGACCAAAACTGTCCATAAACAGAAAGCTGTATGAATCTGGAAAGAAAGTTTAGGCACCTTCAGATATGCAACACCACTGAAGAGCACAGCAAGAGGTCCACATGGTTCTGCTAAATGGGAGAAGAAAAGTTTTAGTACTGAAGAACTTAATCTACAGTTTCCTAAGTAAGAAGCAAGGGCTGGATCAATGTTGTCAGTACATCACTGCACTTAGAGCAATCGAAAAGCTTGGACGCATTAAAAATGGAACACAGGTCTCAGATGTAGGCATCTACATGTGCAAGGTCAGCTTCAGCTTTCTGACCCGAGAGCTCTGCAGGCAAAGAAACACAGGTGTTACGACATTTCATGTCAGCTACAGAGCAGAGTGATGCTATTCCTCTGACAGACTTTGAGAGACAAACACTGCTTATGTTCCAGGAGCAATTTTAGAGTATGACTATTATAATTATTTGCCCTCACTGCATCTCTCCTGGGGGTTCCTTGTGCTTTCACAAAGAGTTACATATTCCAGTGTGTAACTGAAATGACAGAGCAAAATATACCTGTGCACCTCAACCATCCTCAGAGAATCCCAGACACCCACCACCAGCAAAGGAGAGCATGAACTGGAACACCAAGCCGGAAAGCCCAAGGCATGGGCTGAGGCTCTCGCCTGCCAACTTTCCTATGCGTGCTGGTAAACTTCAGCAAATGGCAGGACAGACAGCTAACCCAGGTAGTTTTTACAGCTCCTCAATGAGCTTCCTGTCAGAGAGTGATGTAAATCCTCCAGATCATCTCCTTTACTCGCCCCTTAGGTCAGCTCCCTCACACACTTTCACTCTTGCTCCTTTCTTTCACTGACTCAACAAAGAGATAAACCAAACACAAAACATAGTTTTAGAGCGTTTTGGAATTAAAAGGAAATTTAAAGCCTGTATCAAGCCTGCCCCTGTGCCATAATGGCACAGCTAATGGCCAAACTTGCATACGAAGAATAAGCCACGAATAAAACTGAAGCAAATTTGATGGGATGCCCATTCACATCCTCATTCCCTTTTTCTCTCTCAGAGCAGTCACAACAGCCCCATTTGACAAAGGAGAAGGGTGAGGGAACTTGTTACAACTTAATATCAATTCATAGCTTTTATCTATGTCACAGCTCCCCTTGCTCAGCATGTGATAATGCCCAGCAGCTATGCATTATGGTAGGTGGCATGAAGAGCAAGAGCATAAAGTAGTTATCAGTTAGTGGTTCTTCTCAAAAACAACTACCAACCTCCACAGCTCTACTTATACTGAGGAAACAAGTTGTTCCTGCAAGTCTGTGCTAAAAATATAGCAAAAAGTCACTGACTCAAAGTGATTCCAGCTGCAGTAATGAAAGTGAAAAGAGTCAGGCCTTCTGCACGCTTGTGTGCCTTTTTATCAATGTCCTCATCAACTTACTTCCGAGATAAAACCAGTCTGAGGCTTCTTACACCCCTGAGCATCCATTTTACAGGCAGATCTGCTTTCCCCAGGTAGGAATTAAACCCCCTCAAAATACACATGAAACATTTTATCTATGGAAGCAAACGAGTGAGGTATCTATGATTGCAGCTGCTTACTGGAACAGCTCATGACAACCAAGTGCTGAGTTCATACCCCTGCTTCAGATGCCAAGTTCTCAAACACTGTTTCAGGCAGACAGGCACATGAAAACAAGAATCCCTTTGGAAACCACACTCTCTTAGCTCTTGAAATGCTACTCGCCATGCTGGGCCTCAGTACAGCAAGATGGCTGCCAGCAGCACTGACCCAAAAAACGGCAATTAAAAGTAACTGGTTTCCAGTTGGGGAAATTTTTTTTTGGTTCCTGTGTAGTCAGAAGTTTGCTCGAGTAGAAATTAATTTTTAATGACACTGTTCACCTCGCTCACTGCAAAACTGCCCCTGAGAGGATCACTTCCATCACAAGTTTTACCAAAGACACTGAATTCTTGGCACCTCTTGTTGGAACATAGAAGGTCTAAATTTTAGGAGTTGCAAACGAAAAGGAGAACATAAACAAGGGACACTAAAGAGACCAAAAGTGCCTCTGGCAAGGCCAAAAGTTACTTCCAAGTATTCCTGGATTTGGGAAATTCATCTTTAGGCTCTATTTCCACTTCTCTCACGGGGTAGTGAAGTGGTTCACACACATGGGCTGGGATCCAAGAGACCACTGTTACTCAAATGGTTTTTGAGGAGGACGAAAGATGATCCTCACCCTGGAACTGAAAACAGAGTGAAGCAAGACACCGGAGATGAAAATATAGCCGATTGCCTCAGCTGCCACAGCGACCACAACATGTCTGCCTCTGCTCATGCCAAGTCACTCGTTAGCTCCGGCCCGAGGGCCGCTGCGGGGTGGAGGCCGGGACATGCCTTTCCCCTCCTCGCTGCCCCGGCAGCCGCTCCAGGGCATGAAGACAAAGCCCTCCCTGGCTAAGGCCTAGCGCTGGCGGGACGGAACGGGCCCTGCCGGGGCACAGGAGGCCGGCGGCCCCGTGAGGAAACACGGCCCAGGCCCAGTGGGAGGCCAGGCCAGGCCTCGCCTCGCCCCCACCCCAGCCCCATGACTCGACACTTCCCGGGGAGGCCCAGCCGGGAGCTGCCCATCCCCCTCCCGGCACCGCCTCCGCCTGCTCGGGGCCTGCATGACACAGCGTGGCTGTGGGACGGAGCGGGCCCGGGCTGCACCGCTCAGAGGCGAGGTAACGCGAGCTAGGCCGGACCGGGCCCAGCGCCGTGGCGGAGAGGCCTAGGCCGCGGCCTGCCGGCGGGCGGGCGGACAACCCGCACTTACTCGGATCCCGAGGCCATGGTGCTGAGGGGGAAGGGGCGAGGGGAGGCGGGCGGCGGCGGCTCGTCAGGACGGGTGGCGCGCGGCGGGGGTCGGGCTGGCTGCGGCGGCGGCTCCGGCCTGTCGGCGATGACTGAACCTCAGCGGCGACTCATCGGAAGGGGGAGCACCGCCCCGCTCAGCCGCGCGCCGCCTCGCCTGCCTAGCAACAGTGTGCGCGGACCAATCGGAAATTCCGCCCGGCCAGCGCCTCAGCCAATGGGAGGGACCGAAGGGGCGAGGACGAGGAGAAAAAGGGAAAGAGCGCTCTCCTCCTGCACCCCGCCCCTGTCGTTTCCCCTCCCCAATCGTCACACCCGTCAGCCAATCGCAGCGCCACGCCCGCTGTGTCCATTCTACCTAGCAACACGGGCCGGGCAGCCAATGGCAAGAATCCACCAATGGCAAAATCCTTACTAGGGCGAAGTCCCGCCTCCACTGCTGTCCGGGATGAATCGCGCCTCGCGACTGGCCAGTGGCCAAGGAAAGGGAGGCGGGCGGCAGAGGAGTAGCCAATCATAAAGAGCGGGAGGAGGGCGCAGGGGGATGCTGAGCGTGGTGCGGGGACCGCAGAGAGGAGGTTGTCGTGGCAGCGCTAACTTCTTCTTGTGCCCCTCCCCTTATCCCGCTTTCTCTTCCCAAGCAAAACAGCCCTTGGAGGTTCCTGCGCTGTTTCCGAGTGTCTGGGCTGAGCCTCTGGGTCTCGACTTTACCATTCAGGATTCAAAAGGTGCGTGCTGGAAAAAGAGCACAAAACCTTCCCTTAAAGTACACAGACAGGAGGCTTTTCATAGAATCATGGAATGCCTTGGGTTGGAAAGGGCCTTAAACTCATCCAGTTCCAACCCCCTGCCATGGGCAAGGATGCCTCACACTAGACCATGTCACCCAAGACTCTTGTCCAACCTGGCTTTGAACACTGCCAGGGATGGAGCATTTACCAGTTCTTTGGGCAACCTGTGCCAGAGCCTCACCACCCTCACAGTAAAGAACTTATATCAACCATTATTGCCTTTATTCTGCTTCTGCATTACCAGCCCCAGCACTCTCATTCCAATTTGAAAGGTTTATGGCTTGACACAGAGCAGTACCTGGTGTGGGCTCTGTGGATAAATCAGCCAGTGTATCATTACACTAAACAGAGGGGTTTTACAGCTCATGAGTTTGAAAGCCAAGGGCTCTCATAGCAAAAATCTACACTTTACTACAAAAGATCAGTTCTGTTTCAGGCCTTTGGGAATCCAGCTTCATTCAAGAGTAACGCTGAGTCTTGGAGGAGTCCTGAAAGGCTTCGTGCCAGCCCCGTGCAGCAAGACGGACTGGGTTAGCTTGGGTGGTCCTGTGTTGTGCTCCCTAGGTAATTCTGTATGCTCCTGGCAAGATCATCACTGTGTGGGAACATTGCCTGCTTCAGACACGAATCCAGGTACAAAGGGACAGGCCTGAAAGAGAAGCTGTCATTGCATGAGCAAGGACTGTGGCATTCCCTGGACACATTCTCACTAAGAAGCTCACCCCCAGCCTCTGCCCTCCCATTCCGTGCCGTGGGGAGTCCCTGCAGAGCCACAGCCCATGGTCTCTCAGAGCAGACAAGGGGGTAAGCTCTTCAGACACACCTGAGCTGTGCACTCAGGCTGGTAGGAGCTGAGCTCAACTGTCCAACTTGAAACATGGGCTGTGCTGCTAGAGCTCTCATGCAGCTACCTGAGATTCCACACATCCCTCTACACACCTTCCCTGTCCTTCCTGCTGCCCGTCCTCCTTAGGGGGCCTCTGTGAGAGCTTCTGCCACTGAGCAGCCGCCTCCTGCTTTCGATCCAGGTTCCACAAGGCCTGCACCAGGTAGGAGGCAGCAGCTGGGTCACCTGCAAGACACAAAATGGGGTTCAGCCTTCAGCAGGGGAGGAGCAGGTCCCTGCTGCTGTCTGTGTGTTGCAGGCTGTTGCAAAGGAAGGTCAGAAGCCAGACAAGGGGGGAGAGCAGAAGGAGAGATGGTGTAATGGGGAGGAGACCGTTCTGGCTGCATCAGACTCTAATTAAGGCTGGGGATGGCAATCAAGGCAGATGTCATTGGCCCTGGGGCACAGCCAGACACACCTTTGTTTGCACACAGGTTGGGGTTCTCCTTGCAGGCAAGTCTGCACCTCCAAGTGGAGGGAGCTTTGTCAGGATCAGGAGCAGCAGGTTTGGCAGATTCTCTTGAAGCTCACACCATGCAGTGTGAGCACAGCTCAACAAAGGGGGTCACCCCTGGGAGCAGCACTAGACATACTTCAGCTGTACTCAGAGGTACAGCTTCCTGATCCACTCCCCTCTTCCCTGATAGGGCTCTGTTCTCAGCCTCTGGGCTGCCAGGCATGGACATGCTGCTTCCCAGCATGAAGCAAGGCTCCAGCTCCTCTGTCTGGGAAAGCAGACCCTGTCTGGGAAAAGGCTGAACACAAGGCTGGGGTTTGGGCAGGAAGAAGGAAAATCTCCAAGCTGTCCCAAGGCACAGGCTGTGGGAAGGGTTCCAATATACTCCTCTAACAATAGTTTTGGTCTGCTGCTCCAAGGCAGTGAGCTGACCAGGCTCCAGAGAAGCATCTCAAATATGTAAATTGCTTGTAGCACTACTGTAGTCCTTGATGTCCAAATAAGTATGGTCTAAAGCATAATCATGTGGATTATAAAGCTTTTCTGAAGAGAGCAAAACAGCCCAGAACAAATCTGTGGAATTCCCCCCTGTCCCTCACCAAAATGAGCCTCTTACCTGGCGAAACCTGCAAACCATGCTGGAAATCTAGCAAGGCTTTCTTGTGCTTCCCCAGCTCAAGGAACTGCGTACCTCTCCCAATGAGAGCGAGCAACCTGATCTTCTGAAGCATCTCCACTTCTGGCAGGAGATTCTCTGGCACAGAAAGACATGCACGTACCTGAAGACAGCATCCTCCAGATATTCCCTCCCTTGTCCCAGCAGGCAGAGCCAGGTTTGCAGTCAGGACAGGCCAAATGTTTACTTGGGCTGCTCATCTTCCACCTCCCTGAAACCTTGGTGAAATCAGCCTCTCAGCCAGGCTGGAAGAGGCCACAAGTGGCAGAGGGTAACAGGGAAGAACACCAAGAGCTTGGTACATTACATGGCTATGGTGAGCAGTGACCTCAGCAGCAGCCTGGCCTTTGGCTGCCCATCTGCACAACCACTAGAAATCTCTTCCCTGAAATCTGGATTGGAGAAGCTTTCTGCTTCACAGCCTATTTAACTGTCACCTAGACCATGGGGCAGGACACAAAGCAGAGGCCAAACCCTGCTCCAGCCAGTTCTTTCAGTGCCCCCTGCTGCCAAGCACACAGATCCTAACCCAGCCAGTCCCAGCATTGCAGTGTCCTACCTGTTGGTTCAATACCAGGCCCATAAAGCTGGACTCGCAAGAGCTCTTCGAGGCATCTGCGGGCGTGAGGACAGAGAAGCTTTCATACAGCTCCCAAGTGGGGAAGCAAGCTGCAAGCTGTCATCCAGCCCTGCTCTGGCCCCACCAGCCCCACTGCTGCCTGCTGGGGAGCCCCTTCTTACCTGCTGAACTGTGTTACAGCTTGCTTGACCTCACCCAGCTTTCCCCACGCCCACCCCTGGTGCAGGTATCCAGCTGCTCTCCAGGTAAGGCAGGACAGGCTCTCCTTCTTCTGAGCCAGGGGTCCACCGGCCAGCCCTGCCTGTGGTGATGGGCATTCTGGCTGCTCCAGCCTCTCCTCCAATAGTAACACTCGTGGGATCAGGCTAGTCGTGCGGCTGATGACCTCCTCACACACAGTTATGGCATCCTGATGTCTCTCAGCCTGCTGCAAGGCAGATGCTGCTTCCAAGAACACCTCAGGGATCCTGGGAACAGCTGAGCTACCATCTAGGGGCACCTGGAGAACAAAAGTGGTGGCAGTGCTGACACAGAACTGCAGAGCCCATCAGACAAGGCAGGAACTGTGAAGCACTACCAGTTTAGCACAATAAAGGCAGCAAATCCCTACTCCTCAAGTGAAGGACATCCTAAACCAGGCCTGTCAGCTGCTCCCCAAAGGGAAGGAAAAGCTGTTTCTCCAAACAGCAGTAGCAAATGGTCTCTGGTGTGAATCCAAAGTAGACATGCCACAGGTCAGAGGTGAAAGTCCCCACCTCATCTCCTTTCTATCTCAAACTGGACACTGAATCCTGGAGTCCAGGGGTGATGCCTGGGCCCAGGCCTTGGGGTGGGGATCCAAACCTCATCTACCAAGTCACCTCAGCAGGACACCACCTACCTGCTGCTGCGGCCCCTCCTGAAGCAGAGCCAGAAAATCCAGGTAATGTTCCACCGCATCAGCCACCCTGCAACAGGGACAAAACATGCGGTGGAAAGAGCAGAGGGACTCCAAGAAGTGCCAACCACCAGGCAAAACTTGGATCTCCAGCCCACAGGCTCCCCCTGCCCCACACTCACTCTGGTCATGATACCCATGCTTTGAGCAGACCTACAGCAGCAGTACTGAACTGGATGATTCCCAAGAGCACAAAGAGAACCACAAAAGCCCAAACAAGCAGCATGTTGCAAGTAGACCAGAGGTGCCTTTACCTCCCATTCTGGAGACACCGCTGTGCCAGGAGGTACTTCACTTCAGAGAGGTGACTATGGCGAAGGAGAGAAGCCAGTACTGGTGTGTGGACAAGCAGCTCTGTTTGGATTAGGAAATACGGGCTAGAGGAAGCAGCTGCTGGAGGGTTTTTTTCCAGAGCCTGGGAAACAGGAACAGAAAATATGGTCAACACAATGCTGGTCAAGTTTATGCAGCTGCTATCACTTACCACTTCTCGCATTTAGAGGGCACCCAGATGAGAAGTTCTGCACTTCGTAAGCAGTTACCCTGCTCTTACTCAGTAGAGCACAGCTCAATTCAGGAAAAGCAACCAGGCTTGCACAGGCAAGACTGCAATCTCAACATGGCATCAGATTTGCAAAATCACCCGTATCACCTCAGGTTTTCAGTTCAAGGTGCTATGAGCTGCCTGGAACACCATGTCCCACTGCAGCTGCAGAACTAGACCAGATCTTGGGCCATTTGCAGTGAGAAAGATCCCTCTCCACAGTTGGGTTTATAATTTATGGATCAGAAACAGCTTAAGTGCTAACTTGGTGTGAAACACTATCAATTCAGCAGAGTCAAGGCAGCAAATCCCTCAAGGCGTTCCAAGGTTGCTATGGATAATACCCCTTCCCCCACCCCCCAGCTACAGTCTACCTTTTAAAGGCCTCTTTAGCCTCTTATTAGGTACTTTATTAAGAGATTGATACTTAACAACATGAGTGTAACCTCTTTTCCAAGCTGCCAAGAACATGAACTGCAAAGTGCCAAGCAGGAATTTCAGATCATGCTGGGCTCCATCCTGGCCACTGCTGAAAGCAGCATCATGGCTGGAACACTGTAGGCTATTCTGGGAGACTCCTCCATGCTCAAATACAGAAGTCAGGAGCCTGCTTGAAGCTCTGTGCAAGCTCCACTGGGCAAACATCAACCCAGAACTACAGGAAACACACTAACCTCATAGAGCAGAGCCAGGGCTTGCAGCTCCGCATCGGTCTCCCCCAGCTCGTGGTACACTGCTGCCACGTGGGACAGGGCAGGAAGGCAGTGGAAGTCTACCTGGAGGGCCTGTTTCAGGTGCCGAAGAGCTGTCTGAGGCTTGCCCTAATTAGATGGGAAGAGGTGCATGTTGCAAGGACATCTTGCTGAGATCTTTACCGCTCAGTGTAATCCAGATCTTGCTTTGCTTCCCCAATGATCCCCATGAAGAAAAGGCTGCACTGTAGACAAAACCAGCACTCCTCAAGCTGCTTTTTGAGTTTCTCTCTGCAGCAACCCTTTATGCTCAGCCAAAATCCCTGCCTGGATTCTGCAACTGTCCTTGTAAACAACTGGGATCACAAGGGCCCATAAAAGCATAACACCTTGCTTTTATGCAGCAGCCTAGGACCACACAGAGGCAGTGTGGAAGTCAACTCGAGCCTCCCCATCCTGCTCCAGGCTGCATTTCCCTTCTCCCCCCTGGCTGTTACCATTCGCTGAGCACAGCAGCTGAGGCAGGTGTAGATCTGGGCCAGAACCTTCTTGGAGCAGAATCCTCCTGCAGCTTCCTGAAGGAGGGAGCAGGCAGTGGGGAAGTTCCCAGCCTCGAACTCCTGCAGCCCTAGGACAGACCCAGAATCTCAGCTCTGCAGCTCCCCTTCCCACCCCACATGGTCCCCAAACAGGCACACATATCCTTTTCTTCCCAGTGGGAAAGTCTCCCCATAGGTGCCTGTCTGATCCCAGCAGTGCACAAAAGGATGGTGCCAAGCTGCCTTCTTTGCTTTGATGGTGTTGCAAGAGAATAAGCCACTTGATGGTAATGTCCAGCAGAAATAATAGCAGCTTCCAAGCCCAGATAGCAAGATGCCTGCTGTAGCCCCGAACAAGGACAGAGGTAGGTGCTGGGCAGCTGGGGAAACACACACAGAGTCTCAGAGAGACTATTTTGGGCCATTTCCAAGCAGGATGCTTTGGGATATTAATGCATTAATATTTGGTGTGAATGGTACTTGCTTTTCTTTCAACCCCCTTTCAAGCTTCCCTCTCAGGTGCCTGCATCACATTCACACCTGCCATCTCCCCTCTGGAACTGCTGTTGCCAAGCTGCCCAGCTGCCCCTGGAGCTGCTGGGGTTGTCATGACAGTGAGTGAGGGACAGAACACAGCAGTCAAAGGCTGTGACACAGGGTACAGAGCTGCACAACAGCTTTGCATGGCTCTTGCAGCATGGTAATCTGATGGAAACAAAGTGCTTGCAACAAGGCAGGTACCAGAAGACAGGAGAAAGGAAAATCCTTCTAAGTTCCCTGTGAGCCTTCTGCTTTATACAAGATCACTGCGTGGCCCAGACACCTACCTAAAGCCACAGACAAGCAGAGGAACCCTGTGACAGTGCAGAGAAAGGCTTAGCTGGGGAAAAAGCAGAGAAGCTCTTTGAATACTGAATGGTAACGTTGAGACCCAGAGGCTCAGCCCAGGCACTCTTCCAAAAGAACAGCCCAGAAATCCCCTTGTTAGCTTGGGAAGAGAGCCCAGGATAAGGGCAGGGAGAGGGCTCCTGGGACAGGAGCGCAATGGGAGGCTGTGCTGGCGTGGTTACCTCCTCCACACAAACCTTGCAGGAAGGCTGCTGAAGTGCAGAGGATCTCTTTCAATTCCCTGGTGCTCTGTACAAGGTGCAGGGAGTCCACCTCAGAAGGTACTCGCCATGCCTTGAGCAGTGAGAGGAGTTCGTTCTCCACCTTGCTCCAGTGAGCTTTTCCCAGGTCCTGTGAATACAAAGAGATGAGAGGGCAGGGAATGCTGAAGGGAAGCAGGAAACACTGACCCCAGGGCACAGGGAAACAGAAGTCCCACCAAACCCTTCAACAGCTCTTTCTGTGCTGGGGAGCAATGTCCTACCACCCATCATTTCAACTACAACCCTCCTGCTGAAGTGATTCTTGCCTGTCCGAGGGCAGTACCTCCCCACTTCAGAGGGAGCTGCACCTCAAGGGGCTCCTGGACAAGCAGATCCAAATGCTGTTGGAGGGCATTCATAAAGGTGGGACCCCTCAGCAGCCGCACAATCAGCAGGGAAGGCTCCTCTGCATCCCACTGTTCACAGCTTGCTCCCTCCAAGCCCACCTGCAGCCCCCTTCCAGCCTGCCCAAGCCTCCTCTCTGGCACCTTGAGGTCTGGGACCCTGAGAGGCAGGAGGTATTATGGGACTCATTAACACACTCAGGACCATTAGACCATGCTGGGATACCAGAGAGAGGATTACACATGCTTATTGGGCAGTGCGGGTGGGTTCGGGTCTCCAAATGCCACAGCAGCATTTTGCAATGTGTGTGACAAAGAGCACTTATGAGAGCTCTGCCTCCCTTAGCAAACGTGTGTGTATTTAATTGGTGCAGATACACTGGTGAAGGTAACTGGGAGCTGTGCAGCACCTGCCCGTGCCCACTTACCTCAGGGTTGCTCAGGAGCCTGAGGAGGCTAGCGATGCTTCCCAGGCGGCCAGTGGACAGCCACCACGCTGCTTGCAGGGCCCCCAGTTGATGCAGAGATGTCTGCAGCTCTGCCACAGTAACCTCCTGCAGCACCTTCTGCCACAGCTCCTCACTGCTAAGATCCTGCCCACCAGCCCCACAGGCTTCCAGAACTGAAAACAGACACAAAAACCCAGCCCTGAGACAACAGTTTGGTGCCCTGTAATAGAGACCTTCCCAAGAGGGAGAGGAGGTCTCAGACAAGCACAGGCATCTCATAGTGAGGGAATGATTCTATCCAGGCAGGGCCTCTTCACTGGGGACTGTAGTGATAGGACAAGGGGTGATGGGTTCAAACTTAAACGGGGGATGTTCAGGTTAGATATAAGGAGGAAGTTCTTTACTGTGAGGGTGGTGAGGCACTGGATCAGGCTGCCCAAAGAAGTGGTAAATGCTCCATCCCTGGCAGCGTTCAAGGCCAGGTTGGACAGAGCCTTGAGCAACAAGGTTTAGTGTGAGGTGTCCTTCCTCATGGCAGGAGGTTGGAACTGGATGATCTTAAGGTCCTGTCCAACAAAAACCATTCTGTGATTCTATGACAGGGCTGACCTGGCCTCAGCAGCATGAAAACCAAGCTTTCTGACAGTGGAGTTAAAAGCAGCATGCTTAGGAAGCAACAGAGCTACAACTCCAGCTCTGCTGGGTCCTGCTGAGGTCACCTGCCCCCAGGCAAGCCTGTGGCAACACTGCAGATCCCCCTCTGGCCTGCAGCCTATTTCAGCAAGTTTTCTTTGAAGCCAGCACACCATAATTAAAGAAAACACTCATTTACTGCTGTCATTAGAACTTTGCTAGAAACTTGGCACCTTACACCTTAAAAACACCCATTGTCTTTAAACCCTGTGGCCAACCCCTGCAGGCAGCAGCAGGCAGACAGACAGCTGTACATAACCCCTGGCTGCAAATCACCCCATTCCAGCCTTTCCCAACAGAGCAAAGCTTCCCTGCTGACACCCTGCAGTCAGTCACCACACACGTCCAAAGCACAGAGAATGCCACCTTGCCCTGTACAAAGGACGATCTTACCCCTGAGGAGCCCCTGGTGTATTGCCTCTTGTCCTTCCATGGCAGAGTCGGATGCTCCCATTGTAAAAAGCAGGGAGTTGTAGAGGACGGTAAGCTCCAGAGGCAAGGTGGGGAGGGTGGCTGGCAGCCCTGTGATAACAGATAACCCAACAACAAATTGAGCTGGCTAGGAAACATCCAACATCCATCCACGCTAAGGTATCATCACCCACCTCTGGATCAACAGAACTGTCCTTTCTTGTTTGTTTGTTGCTGTGGTGGTGGTGAGATTTAACAGCTTGGGAACTGCAGTAGCTAGAGATGCATCAGGCATCACTTCTCCAGGTCCCAACACCATTCCCAGCTATCCGGGAGCTGCAGTTCTCCAAGACTGAGACCTTTCAGCTCTCCCAGAAGAGCATCAATAGCCTGCCCTCTTCCAGAACAAATACACCCTTTTGAATAGGTTTTCCACACTGTGTCTCTCTCCCTCTTGACAGGCTTCCTCTGTACCAGTTATATCAGGGACCCCTTTCCCCAGCTTCCCAGGACAAAGTTTGCCTCATTTATTTCCAGAAACCCCAAAGCTCTGGCCAGATCCCCCAGAAAGATTAAGAAGAGGTTTTTTGCAGGCCAAGCTCAGGTTAGGTAAGCAGGGAATGTTTCTTTCCTCTCCCTTCAATGCCAGGCTACCAGGAACTGCAGCCTGCCACATACCCATTGGTCTGGGAGGGCAGCAACTTTTCCAACTTAATTGATTCTGTGATACTTAATTAAAGTATTTCATTTGTGTGTAGAAACTTAGACATAGGCAAGGCTACAGGGAGTCTCAAGAAAAGGAAGGCTGCAACAAGAGCAGCAGACGCCTTCCCTCCAATCAACGTGGGCAGTCCTCCTTTAGATAGTGCCTGAGAAATAGCTAAACAGCTGCAAGAGAAAGCAGCTCGATGAGCCTCTCAGGGTCATAAATTAACCCAAACAAGAACATGCAGTTAATTGTGAGACTAAACATGCATTCCAGTGTCCTTCACTAACGGATTGCTGTAAAAGGGTAAAATGAGTGGGGCTATTTATGACAGGAGGTAACAGGTTCAAGCTGCACCAGGGGAGGTTTAGATTAAAGATTAGGAAGAATTTTTTTTCCCCAAAAGGGTGCTCAGGCATCGGAACAGGCTGCCCAGGGCAGTGGTGGAATCACCATACCTGGAAGTGTTCACAGACTATGTAGATGAGGCCCTCAGTGACATGGTTCAGTGGTGGACTTGGCACTACTGGGGTAATGGTTGGACTTGGTGATCTTAAAAGTCTTTTCCAACCTGGCTGATTCTATGATTCTACAACAGCCCCAAATGACAACCATGACCCCCCAGACACTGCTCCTCAAATTCACAGTGCCTGCGCCACAGCCTTGTCTAATTACCATATGGAACGAGTAATGGGAATTGGGTGGGCATTTCACAGAATTATGAAGAATATGTCTAAAATAAAGGTATATAAGATCAATCTGTCTCTTCTTGATGTGCGTGGTAAGCAGAGCGATCCTCTACGCACCCGGTACCATAATAAAGCCATGCTGGCTGTCACCAAGCACCTTGTTGTTTTTCATGTGCCTTAGCATGCCTTCCAGAATCTGCTCCAAGATTTTGCCAAGCACAGAGGTGAGACTGACTGCTCTGTAATTCCCCGGATCATCCCTTTTCCCCTTCTTGAAAATGGGGGTTATATTTCCCTTTTTCCAGTTGTTGGGAGCTTCACCTGACTGCCATGAGTTTTCAAATATGATGGCCAGCGGCTTAGCAACTTCATTTGCCAGCTCCTTCAGGCCCCACGGATGGATTTCATCAGGACCCACGGACTTGTGTATGTTCAGGTTCCTAAGATGATCTCACACCTGATCATGTTCTACAGTGGGCCTAAGGTCTTCATTTTCACAGTCCCTGCATCTGCCTTCTAAGACTTGAGTGGCATGGCCAGAGCACTTGCATTGAGAACCTCAGCCTTCTCCAGCATAAGAAGGACATGGAACTATTGGAACAAGTCCAGAAGAGGCCACGAGGATGATCAGGGGACTGGAGCACCTCCTGTATGAAGACAGGCTGAGAAAGTTGGGGCTGTTCAGCCTGGAGAAGAGAAGGCTGCATGGAGACCTCAGAGCAGCCTTCCAGTATCTGAAGGGGGCCTACAGGGATGCTGGGGATGAACTCTCCATTAAGGACTGTAGTGATAGGACAAGGGGTAATGGGTTAAAACTTAAACAGAACTTAAAAGGGGAAGTTCAGGCTAGATATAAGGAAGAAGTTCTTTACTGTGAGGGTGGTGAGACACTGGCACAGGCTAACCAAGAAGTGGTAAGTGCTCCATCCCTGGCAGTGTTCAAGGCCAGGCTGGACAGAGACTTGGGTGGCAGGGTCTAGTGTGTGTGGTGTCCCTGCCCATGGCATGGGAGGGGAGGAACTGGATCTTAATGTCCTTCCCAACCCAAACCATTCTGGTTAAAGAGCTCATTTCCCGGCGCTCGGTGACAGCAGGAAGGAGGGTGAAGGCAACGCACGGGGCCGGCACTCACCCCGCATCCTCAGCAGCAGCTCCCCGAAGCCGCCCCGCTGCTGCCGCCCCGCCGCTGCACCGGGCCCCGCTCTCCTCGCCTCCTGCAAGGAAGGGAGAGACGCTCACCAACCCACCCGCCGGGCCACCGCCCTGGCCGGGGCAGCCCCCGGGGCTCTGAGGGACGGGACGGGACGGGACAGGACGGGACAGGATGGGACGGGCCGGGCCGGGCCGCACCCGCCAGCGCTCTGCCAGGGCCCGGTTCTCGGCGGTCCAGGCCTGCAGGCAGCCCAGCTCCGCGGCAGGACCGCTCCGTCGCTTCATGGCCGCCGCGCCGCTCCCGCCTCCCCGCCCATTGGCCGGCGCCCGTCTCTCCGCCGCTTCCGATTGGCGAGCGGGATAGAGCGGAAGCGGCGGTTGCCAAGGCAACAGCCACGCGTGCAGCGGAAGAGGTCCCCGTCCCCCCAACTGCGGCGGTGGCCGCAGAGGGACAAACCTCGTTGATGAGCGAAGCCTCCCTGAGGCTGACACGTGGAGCATCCTGCCGGCAGGCACCCTGCTATAGACGGGCTTGAAGGAGGAGACGAGCACGATCCGCTTGGATCTCACGGCTTTATTCACATACATCAGCTTTGCAGCCGCCCAGAGCCCCACACCACCATCAGGCAGCAAATCTTCCTCACACCACCCGATTAAGTAATTAATTAGTCGTTTAATAACGAAGCGCCTGCTCCCCACAGCCTCCCACACGCCGAGGTAGGTCCGCGGTAGCCCAGCATGGCAAGCGGGGGTCCGCGGGGCATCAGCCGCCACGGCCCAGCCTGGAGGTGAAGCTGTCAGTGAATGAGCACTGCCAACTTGCCTGTTTTAGGGTTATTTTGAAGGAAAAAAGGCTCTGCTTCCCAACAGAGTCCAGAATTCCCTTCCACCATCCAGGTGTAGCTGCTGAATGGAAACAAAAGCACTAACAGCCAAATATATGCAAAGATCCCCAGGAAAGTGTAGCGCTGCACTGCATGCAGAGCTTCCAAATTGTGTCCCAAACCTGGGTCTATCCCCTTAAGTATTTTCCCAAGTAGGGTACTGAGGCACAGAGAGGTTAATAATGAAAAATAAAACAACCATCTTGCTCCAAAACATGTGTGAGTCCAGTCAGAGCTCGAGGAAAGGCAGCGCTCCCAGCCCTGCTCCTGCAGGCAGGCAATGCTGCTTCCTGAGGGAAAGGGAAACATGCACGTCTAGACCATGCCTGGGCATCAGTAAGCAGCCTGAAGCGCTAAGGGAAGAACAGAGAGAGATGGGATGGAGAAACAGGCATGGGAATGGAGATCCACAAAGCCCTGACTTACCCGAAGCATCCCTATGGGTTAGAGCAGGAGATGCTCCCAACAGCCACAACCTTTTTGCACAGGTGGCAGCTTTTGGTTGCCATCTTCCATGTGGCATAAATGAGACACAACTGATCCCAGCCCCATGCCAGGACTATGGGACATACCATCCCAGTGGAGCTCTCAGCAGGTTTGTAGTGTACAATGGAAACAGTGATGCTGAGCATGAGGATGACACATCCCCTGCACACTCAGACAAGGGACACAAGGACCAGAATAAACCATCTGGAAGAGCTGCTCCAGGAGAGACCCAGCAGGGTTCAATGACTAGAACAATCTCCAGCCCTTGGAAAACTTGTCTTCTTGACTCTGAATTCTTTGGTGTTGTAGCCAGTCTGCCCTGGACGAGCAGTCAGCACTCCTTGGCATCTCTGCGGTGACAAGAATGTAGACTCACAGAATCATAGAATGGTTTCGGTTGGAAAGGACCTTAAGATCATTTAGTTCCACTCCCCCTGCCATGGGCAGGGACACCTCACACTAAACTGTATCACCCAAGGCTTCGTCCAACCTGGCCTTGAACACTACCAGGGATGGAGCATTTACCACTTCCTTGGGTAACCCATTCCAGTGCCTCACCACCCTCACAGTAAAGAACTTCCTCCTTATATCCAATCTAAACTTCCCCTGTTTAAGTTTTAACCCATTACCCCTTGTCCTATCACTACAGTCCCTAATGAAGAGTTCCTCCCCAGCATCCCTATAGGCCCCCTTCAGATACTGGAAGGCTGCTATGAGGTCTCCACGCAGCTTTCTCTTCTCCAGGCTGAACAGACCCAACTTCCTCAGCCTGTCTTCATATGGGAGGTGCTCCAGTCCCCTGATTATTCTCGTGGCCCTCCTCTGGATTTGTTCCAACAGATCCATGTCCTTTTTATGTTGAGGACACCAGAACTCTCCACAATACTCCAAGTGAGGTCTCACGAGAGCAGAGTAGAGGGGCAGGATCACCTCCTTCGACCTGCTGCTGGTCACACTCCTTTTGATGCAGCCCAGGATACGGTTGCTTTCTGGGCTGTGAGCACACACTGAAGCCGGCTCATGTTCATTTTCTCATCGACCAGCACCCCCAAGTCCTTCTCTGCAGGGCTGCTCTGAATCTCTTCTCTGCCCAGCCTGTAGCTGTGCCTGGGATTGCTCCCACCCAGGTGTAGGACCTTGCACTTGGCATGGTTAAACTTCATGAGGTTGGCATCAGCCCACCTCACAAGTGTGTCAAGGTCCCTCTGGATGGCATTCCTTCCCTCCAGCGTATCAACTGAACCACACAGCTTGGTGTCAACGGCAAACTTGCTGAGGGCGCACTCAACATGGAACAGTTAGGGTTGGAAAGGACCTTAAGATCATCCAGTTCCAACTCCCCTGTCATGGGCAGGGACACCTCACACTAAACCATGTCCCCCAAGGCTCTGTTGTCCCCCCCCCCCTCCCCAGCACATCTAGTTTAAAGCATCCTTGAACAGCCTGGCAAGCCTCCTACCAAAACCGCTCTTCCCCTCCGTTAGACCCTAACTTCACCAGCCTCCAGTAGACCTGGCCTCCCAAATCGAGTCCCATGTTCTAAATACCCAAACCCCTGACTATGGCACCACTGTTCTAACCCTTTGTTAACCTGGCAAATCCGCCTAGCCTTTTTAAGGTCCTCCCCTTTATCCTGGAGAATTGATGAAAACACTGTCTGAGCTCCAAAGCCCCTAACCACGTCTCCAAGGGCTCTGTAGTCCTTCTTAATGTTCTCCAGGCTACTGCTATCTATATCACTAGCACAAACGTAGTAAAAGCTTTGTTACTGTAAATAAAGCAACTTTGCTTGGACTCTGTCGAGATGAATGTGCATGTTTTCTGCTGTCCCCGCTGCTCCACCATGTGGCCATAAATCCCCGTAGGCAGGCAGAGGAGAATTGTGGAGAGATAAGGAGAGGATTCCCAAGCGCCTGCTGAGTGCTGTGACCACAAACGATGAGCATGGGAAGGCTCAGCAGCATTATGGTGACCACTGGAAAAGGAACTAATCCCAGAAATGGCCCAGAAGAAAGCCCATGGGCCTCAGTAGCAGCTGTGGGGACATCAGAAGCCAATTCTACAGCATTAGTGACCATAAGGTTTCCTGCCAGCACAAAGGCATCCAAGGCAGCAAACTCCTGACTAAGTTATGAAGTTACAAGAAGACCTATTTGGGATCCAGCACTGGAGTTTAGCAAGAGGTATTATCTAGACTAACTTCACATTAGATGGAAATTTACTGGGTAGCTGCTAGCTCCATCCCCTTCCTCCTCTCCACATTGATGCACCCCTCACCCATCAGCATGGTCCCTCAGTACCAAGAACCATACAGGCACCAAGAAGTCACAGTATACAGCAAACCATCTGTTTTTAAGGGTGGGACTCTAAGCCTCTCTTGTTTGTGGGCTGAATTGTTCCTGCCCTCTCCAGCTTCCCCACTGTGCAGCCCAGGGAGTCATGCCAGCTATAAGACAGTCCCTGGTTGTGTTGGGTGAAATGATGCAGGGGATATGGGAGGCTGAGGTGCAACAGCACAGCCAGCAGATCAGGAGGCCAGGCAGTGGAAATTGAAGCCCGAAGTTAGAGCAGTTTAAGCCTCCCTGGAATCTCACCCTAAAGCCTGAGCAAACATATTGCAGGGGTTAAAATACAAGAGCTATCTGCCCTCAAAAGCCATTTTCCACAGTGACCAGGCACCTGGGTGTAATGGCAAGTGCTGAAATGATGAGAGAGGTGCTGAGGCACCTTCCCCAGGACACTGCATGAACCAGTACCTCCAGGAAGAGCCTGAAGTTATGCTATCAGTCTGCAGTGAGGAACTCAGGGGCAGTGACGGTACAAGAGTTAAAAACCAAATGGGATCAGAACAAAAATCAGCACAGGAATCCCAGGCAAGCAGTCCTCAGCTCTTTCCAGAGCAAAAAGAGACTGAAGTTTTCATAGCACCAATTAATGTCACACAGTGGTTCAGGGCAGTAAGGATTTCCAGCTCCCATCAAAACTGCAGGGGGAACTTAGCTGGGATGGGTCCAGAAACCATGGTCACTGTCCTCAGCCTTTGCTCATGAAGAAATACACTGAGCAGCTAAGGGCGGGTTTGGGGTAGCTCACTTGTGGCATGAAGACCCATGCAGAACACTGAGGTCAAGAGTGAGATAAGCACCAGACACTGGAGCTCATGCCAAGGCCATTCCTGCCACTGGGACAACTACTCTAGACTCCCCTTTCCTTCTGACCAGACCCAATAAGGGGATGAGCCAATGTTCTGTCACTGCATCTTAATTGTTCAAAATCAACAACTGGCATTCAGCAGCACAACCTCAGGAAGACATCGGAAGCCCTGGCTGCTACAGCCTAGCCCACGGGGACACCAAGAGGCCGACAAGTGTAAAGTTCCTTGGTCATGGACAGAGTTCTCCCTGGTACTACTCCCTAACAAGCTAAGCCTGCTTCAGGCTGTATGAGGTAGCCCAGAGCATTCCCTAGTGTCCTCCCTGTGGCTGAGGAAGGAAAATGGGAGTGAGTGTAGGGCAGAAGGGGCCTCACTACAGAGCAGCCAACTCACTTTACAGGGGATCAGCTGCCAGTGACACCCCAGGAACTCTGTGCATGTGTAACCATGTGTGCTTTGCTTCCAGCACGAAAACTGAGCATGTGAAGAGAAGTGGTGGCTGAAGAACCTTCTTTCTCCTCCCAACCTCCTCACCCCTTGTCAGCAGGCCCCTTTCCCATGAATCACTGTCTCTGCACAGGCACGGTGACACCTTGCTGACCACTGAAGCTGCACAGTGGGTACAGCTGTCAGGAAAGCAGCAGCAAGATACCCCGCCCTGGCTGGTGTTTCTCCAGAGGAGCACTTCTTGGGCTCCTGCAGCAGAGTCCTCCTGCTGCCAACGAACACCCATAGAGAGCTCTGACCACCACTGCTGAGAAACACCATCACGAAGAGCGGGCAACAG